CAGCCCCATTCACTCAGCATGTCCCCATACATCAACTCGTGGTGCAACAGTCATTCTTTCTGGGAACAACTGCACATTCAGCAACAAACTCTGTCTTCAGCAAAGTGGAATCCTGTCCAAAATTCTTCAAGTATTGTCTGTTGATGAGTGAAGTTCACTATAATGCTAAATATCTGATTTAATTTAAACGTCGATGTCACACGTCGTCCCTTGGGAGACCCTCAAGGTCTCAGCTTTAGAGTATTAGAACCCATCCTTATTTCACTGCTATTGCTCTATTTCAGATCCTTACTTCTCTTTCTTGGACTGTTACAAAAATATCTCCCAGCGAGTTTTCTTCCCCCCTAGCCTCTGCTTTCTCTCATCCAGAGTCAACTGGAGAGAAAGTTATCCATCTCCATGGTTACCTTCCTCGTGCCCAGATCGGAACATGATACATCCCTAATTTAAGTGTCAGTGACTTCCCATTGCCTGAGAGATAAAGGCCCTGTATGTCTTACAAGGTCACCAACTATCTGTGACTAACCCCATCAACTGAATTAAGAATTGTAGTGATCGCCAAAGCCTGCTTCCAATCCTTAACACACACACATACACACAGACACACACAGACACATACAGACATACTCAAACAACCATACATCTGCACACACATAACCAGACATATCTGTGCACACACATATTCATGCATATACACCCACACATCTGCACACAAGCACATACACAAACACACATACACACCATAAGCACACACATGCACACTGCATATACACACAGCACACATGTGCACACACAATACATGTTTGTAAGCATATACACACATGTGCACACACATGTGGCTTTTATTCTTAATAGCTAGAATAGCATATTCTTCATGCCTTTGTTTTTAGGAAAAAATCTTTGGAGCTTGGTCAAAAGGACCCCTGTGGAGATACCTCAGTAAAGGCAACAGACGGGGAAGCGGTTTCCCGCACGCTTGTACTTCGGACTCTCTTGACTCTAGTTCCCTTGTGAAACCTGCAGGTGTTCTAACCAGTGGCAGCTACTCCCAGCCTTCCCTGATTCCAGCACCCTCTCCCTACTCGTCTGTGGCTGAAGGAGAATCTCTACCACACATTTGCAGGGCTCGGTGAATAAGGGATCAGGGTCATTTTGAGTGTGGGTCTGCCATTTGTGCAAGAATTATAAATCTCACCTGAACAGAGAGACTACTGATGCTGCTGGGACCCAGGGGGATCCGGGTACCGTCTCACCATCAGAGCACAAGCCTCTCCCTGCCTGTCTGGACTCTGGGACCTGGCGTTGCGACTCTAACTACTTGAGGAAATGCCAGACAAGGGGATGGGAGACACTCTGACAAGGTGGAGGCAACACCTCAATAGGGATCCATTTGTGATGACAAATGTACAGGGTGGCCATCAAGTCTGGGGACAGTGGTCAATAAGTGATTTATTGACATATATTACAACATGTGCAATATCACATTATGCATGATTCCAGGCTTGATGGCTTCTTTGGAGTCTCCCAGTTGGAATAAATTCCTTTGGGGCTGAATAAAGAATTGCGTCTTGTGTGAGTGGTAGTTAGTTAAGATGTTTGACTTTTTGGTAAAACTATGTAACTGAGATTCTCTTCTATACACACTGAGGTGCGAATATTATCTGCTGGTCATCCCCCAGAATGCAATACTTGACAGGAAGAATGGAAACTCCAGAAGTCTGAGTTAATTGCAACCAAGGCTTGCCTAATTCCAGAGCTCTTGCTTATTTCTCTGCACCATGCTTTGCTGGTAACTGGAAGAATTAATGCTGGACCTCAAGTCACCTACAGTATAATCAAGAAGTTGTTGGCATATTAATAGACTCTGACTAATGCAGTTAAAAAATATCCTACGGAATTGTCTAATTTTAAAGGAGTAAAAGCAGCACTTAATAAACTTAACAAAAGGAAGCTTGTGCATCACCGCAACCCATCCAAATCTCACTTCTCACTGTCCCACTCCAAATCTTCAGAAGGGAGACCTTAAGTTGGATAAAGTGGTCAGAACGGATAAGGTTCTCTCTAGAAGGATAAATGATAATGTTCTGAGAATCTTAAAGCATTTTGATAATCAATGTTCACTTCTGCAATGCAATCTCTGTAGCGTATTTTCTGCTTAAGCTTAAGATAGAAACTCCTATGGAAAATCTGTGGATGAATGGATAAAGAAGAAATTATTTCTCTTTCTCTCTCCACACACACACACACACACACAGGAATATTATCCAGTTTAAAAAAAAGGAAATCGTGCCATTTGTAACAACATGGATAAATGTGGAAGGCATTATGCTAAGTGAAGTAAGCCAGACAGAGAAAGACAAATACTCTATGGTATCATTTATATGTGAAATCTTAAAAAAAAAAGTTGCACTGATAGGGAGTAGAAAGGTGGTTGTCAGGGGCTGGGGGATTGGAGGCTGGTGGGGAAATGGGGAGATATTGGCCAAAGGGTAAAAACTTTCATTTTCAGATGAATAGGTCCTGAGGTTCTAATGTACAGCATGGCGACTATAGTTAATAATACTTATTGTATATTTGAAATTTGCTGAGAGTAGATCTTAAACATTCTCACCAAAAAACAGATAACTATGTGAGGTGATGGAAGTGTTCATTAACTTGACTGCAGTAATCATTGAAAAATGTATACATAAAAAAGAAAAAAAGAAAAAATGTATACATATACAAATTATCACATTGTACACTTTAAATATACACAATTTTATCTGTCAATTATATATCAACAAAAATTGAAAGGAAGGAAGAAACAAAAGAAGAAAGAGAGTCTGTGGAAAGTTTTGCTACTTAAACTTGGTTTTTACGTGGTTGATAAATCACAGATTTTCAGAGCTGGCAGATATTTCAGAGTTGGTCTAGTCCAATCTCCTCATTTCATATACAAACAAATTCAAGTGGTGTCTCTAAGGGGCACCCAGAGACAAGAGAAGGACTCCCTGGCAACCTGTTCATCACTTTATTTCCAGGGCTTAGCACAGTGTCTGACACATGGTAGAACTCAACACGTTATTTGTTGACTGACATTCTGACTGATTGACAGAGTAGAGTTCACACACCCAATAAGCTGTAGAGCTGGTACAAGATGTTGGGTCTTCTGGGCGTTGATCCACCCCATTGCCTCCCCTGAAACCAGTCAACATGTTATCACAGTTCATCCTAGTTTTCAGGGCAAGACCCTTAAGTGTCCAGAGTAACAGCTGAGAAGCACCTGCAGCCTTTTCTGTCTTTCAAAGGCTGACCAAAGGGGAACTCTGGATGGGAACTGGTGGGCTCCTCTCTCCACAGTCCCTACTAGAGGAAACTTCTGCATCTCTGTGACAGAGGGAGCAACGGCAGAGTGGACATCTCCAGTCTCTCTCTCTCCTCCTGCCTACTTGGTCTTGGGATTAGAGATGGCTGGATTTTCATCGTATACCCGAACACCTCACTGCCTTGACTGAGCCCTGGTCATGGGTTGGTTCCAGAGCTGGGACACTGAGGGCCTGCCAGGGTGGCATATCTGCCCACTAGGAGTCTGATTTCAGGCTGACTGTTGAAATGATGAATGTCACATCAATGGAACAGGATCATATTTAGGGAAAGGGCTCCTGTGCCCTCTTCTTAATTAGGAGACTACACAGCCCTTCCCAATGTCAACAGACCTCTGCTTGAAACCTGAATAAAGTCAAGGATCTGTCAGGAAATAGAAGATTCAGGCTGTTCTATTGTTGGCCACGGTCAGGTCCTCCAATTCATTAGATTCCTCCTTCCCATTCCAGGACTGGTCTTGGGAACCAGCAGGCAAGCTGAGCTTACAGTGGAGGGGGTGTGTGATAGTTGCGGGGTGCAAGAATTGTTGACCCTGCTGACCTTTAATCCAGACTGACACTCCCAAAAATCACACCCACATCTGGTAGACCATGCAACCAAGGTGTGAGTTGATAGTGAGAGTCTTCTGGCCTGTTTCTAACAATACTCTTCATTCCTTATAAGATGAAGACATAAGCCATGGAGATTTCTGCCCATGTATCCTCTGGATACATTGCCTTTGCTGTGGTTGTGGGAGGATGTGATACTGGGAGGATCTGCAAACATTCTGGAACCTCGAGAAGAGCTTTGACAATGCTGAGCTTCTGTCCCAAAGCCCTAAACAGTCTAGTTCCAAAGTTCCTTGACCTCAGTAACTCATCCTCCTTTGATTAAGCGTCTATTTGTCAGCTATAGTGATCAAAGTCAAAAGCACTTGTCACAAACCCATGAAGACACCCCTGGTTGCCCTTCAGTTATTCCTCTTGGCCTTAGGATAAAATGTAACCCTTTAATGTGGCTGAGAAGGCCCTGCAGGCTCTGGCTGCTCCTTGGCTGCAGGCCACCTGTCACCACCTTTCCCACCCCAGGCTTCACCAGCTGTCATTGCAGCACATCCTGAATTCTGCAGATGGCCATCCTCTCTTCCAAGTTCTCCATCCCACCTCCAGGATCTGCTGTCTTACTTTTCAGGTAACAGCTTAGACATATGAACTTTGGAAAACCTTCCCTAGCACCCCAGACTGCACTAACTGTTGCTTCTCAGTTGCCCCCAGGCACGCTGGCTGAGTCATCTCAGAGCACACTGGACCATGTTGGGATGGTCTGTGCACTTCTCTCTCCCACTGCACTGTAATCTCCCTGAAGGCAAGCACTTCGTTCATCATGTTCCTTGCTGTATCCCCCACAGGACATTGGTAATATGAACTTTCTGCACAAATAATGGAAAGGGAGGTATAACTAGAACATAATGAAGACAGCATGTTCATTGATTCCTATGGGAGAACTAAAGTCTCCCATATTTCAGTCTTCATGAAATAGGTCAAAGAGCTTCATCTTTCAATATATACATGACTGACCACAAAGGATAGATGGAGTGGTTGGTCTTCCCCGTCACGCACATCGAAGACCAAGGTTTTAGGGAGGAGGTGCCAAATTACCTGATAGTTTTGATCATGCTGAGGCCCATTTCTACGCAGCAGTGGGCATGGTCCTGGCGGGGCTCGGGAAGTCCTGAAACGCAGTAGTAGCAGTCTCCCAGGATTTTAATGCGAAGGCAGTGATGCTCCTGAAAGCGAGAAGATGGGAGAGGAAAGGAGTCAGCAGACAAGTAAGTGCTTCTGAAAGGCTTGGGGAAGAGGGGGGCCGGGCCAAGTGGTCTGCACCTTGGGATCAGGAGCTCCTACCTTTGAAATGTGCTGCTCTTATCTTCCCAGGAAATTAGGGGCTGTTTGAAGGGCTCAGTGGTGGAATAGAGTCATGGAAAAACAATAGATTTTGAGCTTGACAGACATGGGGCCATATCCCAGCTCTGCCATGTAGTAGCTTTCTGATCTTAACACCCATCACATGGATGGGCCTGGCAAAGAGTCGGCATTTGACATGGGTGTTCAGTGTTCCCCTATGATTCCTGCTCGCGCTGATGTATTTCTTCTCAGGGCACGTCCCTGAATGAACAGTTTTTTTTTTTTTATCAGCTGTTAGCTCAACAATAAGCAATTAAAAATATAAACCACTTAGGGGTGCCTACTGTTTCTACTCTATTGAGTCCTTTCCCAACTAGGGTATTGACACTTTAAGAAAAGGGGGTGACTATGTCTTATACATTCTTTTATTCACTTATTAATTCATTGAAACAAAAACATCAGTTGGAAATCTATCATAAAGCAATCACTGTCCCCAACACAAAGATGATTAATAATACCCCCTATTACGCACCATATATTAAACTGAATTAACTCTCACAAGAACCTTCTGAGGTAGGTGCAATTTTTATCCTCACTTCATAGGTGAGAAGTAGGGCACCATTGTTTGTTTGGTGGCTTTACAATCTTGAAGACGTGATCTTTATAAAGTTTCAAAGAGCAACACACACCTAGGAAATGGTGCCTACTTTTGTATTGGACAGGAATAGGCTGGATTTTGTAGGCTGTAGAGAAAGAGAACTTGGGACAGTATAGCACAGGGGCTAAGAGCACTGGCTGAGTCCCACTGCATAGGATTAAGTCCCAGACCCCCACATCCCACCTTCACTGTGTGTCTTTAGGTAAATTACTTAACCTCTGAGCCTCAATTGCCTCATCTGTAAAATGGGGAGAAGAATAGGAACTCATTCTGTGATTATGAGACTTCAGTAAGATAGTGCCTGTGAAGGCTTAGTACAACGGCCAGCAGATGGGGCACTAAAGCAGCGTTGCCAGCCTCTGTGATGCCACCTTGAACTCCTATCTTAGTTCTTTCACAGCCATCTGTGACCACGGGCAGATGACTTTCCCTTTAGGTTTCCTTGGGCAGATGGTTGGGACTGAATGACCTCTGAGGTAACTTCTAGATCTGAAGCCCTAGGAGCCTTTGGATCTATGGCTTTGTGAGTGAGGGGCTCTCCTTGGGAGACCAGAGTCCCAGAACAGGAGGAGGAGAGTTGCAGGGATAAAGGGTCCTACTGAGATGCCAGCCGCACAGTGGATGGCTTTGCACTGCCAAGCTATAAAGCACCATGCTGGTTTCCTAATCTGATCAGGGGCTGGGACAGCATGTTTGGGTAATGAATGAAATCACTTTCCCAATAAAAAGACAAGTATCAGACAGAGAAAAGAGAATCAGAACTGGTTCTGGTGTTTCCTTGTCTGGATGAGATCTCCAGGGCCTTGCCAACCTTTGCAAATGGGCACACACGTGATCTTCAGAATCCTGATAGCTTGCAAAGACATCCCGTGGTTATTTCTAGGAGCTTGTGGTTCCTGTCTATTGGTTGGTTGCTTGCAGCAGCTAATTTTGCAAGAGAGCTACTGATGAGGTTTGATCAAAAAGGGAAACTCAAGACCTTCAGTTGTTCCCTCTAAGACCTCTAGAGTGGTATGGCCAGAATGAAACTAGAGAGACCTGGCCCACTGATCTTGGCAGTTTCCAGATTTGGGGAGTCCATGGGACAGTTATTTAAGAAATCCCAAAGGGCCCATGGGACTGCTGTAGGGTTCAGTTCTGTATTTTGCCAAGGAAGTATGAAAAAACAAACAAAAATAACAAACAACACAACTGCCCACCCATCACTTTATAAAAAAAAGTGTATTTTCAACACCAAAAAAGTAAAAAGGGAAGTTCTTGGCACTAAATGAAATTAATATGATAGAAACTCACTACACTGCTGTATGTTTATATGTAACATACACACATATATTCATCACATGACTACAAGATAAAACTTCCTGACATTTGTTTGCAAAGGAGCAACAGGGAATCACTGATTAAATCCCTTATTCTGATTTTTCAGCAGAGAACAGTAAGGCTGGGAGGCAGGGGTTGGTGATTTCAATCAGCCACGCTTCATCTGCAAATGGTCTTTGGGTTGTTGGTAGCCTGTTGTCACCGGGAGCTCTGCCTCCCTGTTGACAGTGGGGAGGGGGAGGGAAAGGGTAGAGCAGGGGACACTTTGGTCTAAGAATCAGACATCCATGTTCTAGTCAAATCCAGCAGCTGTTTAACCTTCAGTAAGTCAGCGAAGCCTCTGATATGTGGGTTTCAATTCCCCCTACATGACACTTGTCAAAATAATCCCCTTGTCCTTAATACATAAGTAAGTATGGCCATCAATTAGCAATGACAATGACAGCTGACACCTGAAAATAGGTGTCTCCACACCCAGCGCTGCTCCTTATCTTTTCTCCTGTGAGTCTCACAATCGCCCTGAACAGGGCCCCGCAGGTTTCTAGATGTGAAAATTTCAGTTTAAGAGAGATGAAAAATTTCCTGTGTTACAGATAAGCTGGCTAAAAATAATGATACGGACCACATACGACATTCAGTACCCCCAAGTCAGTGATTGTTCTGTGAAAACAGAGGTGAAAGCACTTTGGAAAAATTCAGGGAAAGGAAGAGGTATTTATTGAGCATGTACTAGGTGCCCAGCCATGTGTTAAAGGCACTATGTTGATCTTGTTTCGTCTTTGAGAGGACACACTGAGTCCCGTGCCTCTTCACAGATGGCTTCAGGAAGCGAAGGTCACACAGCAGGTGAGAGGCAGAAGGGGAATTTACAGCACGTCTGCCTGCCTCTGGGACTCGGGCGCTTTCTCTGCAAAACTGCAGCAATTATGGCAGCGTCTAGACTAGCAGATCTGCCAAATATGCGTTCTGAAAGGAGATTATGTCAAATAGTTTATTACCCTTTGGAGCAGACACAGAACAATGTGGTGGAGATGTTTGTAACCCAGGGTCCATTTTTCTTCTAAACAAAAGGTGAAATTGGCAGCCTCCTTGAAAAACTGTGGGCTGCCAATAAGTATGTATATATATAAAAAATACGTAAGTAAAAAAAATATGAAAGGCCCGTCTTCTTATCTGTCAAGTTCTGTCAATTTGCAGACACATTTTTCTGATCACTTCCTGTGAGCCATCAGATGACTTGACCGTAGTATCCAAGCAACTTCTTTTTACCAGAAACTGCTTTGAAAAATTCACATGAAAAAAGCCAAGTTGCTTTGAAAAAAGGTACAGAAAAAGAAAAATAAAGTAGGGTGAGGGTCTTCTTGTAAATTTTATCAAGTTAGTCTTTACAGAATCCTTTCCCTCCCGTCTTGGCTTTGATATGACAAAAATCTCGGAAAAATCCAGAGAATTTATGAAACCATATATCTAGATACCATTGATGAGATACACGCACCAAATTGTCAAGGATGGTTACGTTTTCGGGGTGGGCTAAGGTTAGCGGGCTGTTTACTTTCCGTATTGTCTCAATGGCTGATGTTTGAATTTTATGAATGAACAAGCATTGCTTTAGTAATCAGGAAAAAAACCCAGTAGAAATGGAAAGATAAAAGGCTCTCAGAGCGAAAACATTAGTGCCATTAATATAAAAAAGTTATATTAAAAATCATGAGAATTTTTATTGTACTTAATCTGATTGTAATTATGCAAATTAACATATGAATATGTTGTCCTAGTAAAAATGAAACTACAGTGTTTCCTATAGTAGCCCTTCCCTCTTGGACACACAATACCCTGGAAACCTGGTCTCCTTTGCCCTCCTGAGAGGCAACTATGTATACACACACACACACACACATTTATATATATTTATATATTTATATATGCACTATTTTAAGCTCTCTAGCCACAAATTGATCATACTATGTTTATAGATCTGAGACATGCTTTTCCATGCAACAGCATGTTTCGAAATTCTATGTCAGTGCAGAAACAGTTACCTCATTCTTTCACATCTGCTGATTAACTTTCCACAGTGTTAGAACTGTTTCTCGTGACAATAATTTAGGTTGCTTTCAGTTTGCCAGCAGTTTGAAACATGATGGGATATGTACTGATGTCAATGTAAATGTATACTTTTAAAGCCTTGGTAATAGCATACATATTCTTCATTCCTAATTTGGAGGGGAGAGAGGTAGGTAGGGATTATTTTATTTAAAAAAAAATTAAAGATCAAAAGTTACCAGAGTTTGCCAAGGCACTAGAAAGGGTCAAAGAACACTCTGCTTTGAGCAGTCCGAATCAGAGGGCATGGAGGAATTCAATCACACTAAGAGGATCTTTAATAGAAGGCTTCGAAGTTTTTTTTCCGGCATCTTAATGATGCAGTGAATAAATTGGACAGGTACGGTGTATGATATTTACAGGCCAGTGGGCTCTGTAAGATGTCCAACATAATGACAACCTAAAGCAAAGAATTATGGCAAAGCCATACAGGGAGATCATTGTAAAGCCACAGAGTTTTGATGCTAAAAGGTGCACCATAAAAGGCAAGTTTAATTCCCTTTAATACAGAAGTAAAGTCTCTGACCTACTCGGTTAAGCGATCTGCCTAAGGTTGGGGCCAAAAACGTTGAGGGTAGATTTTCTTATTCCGAGGTGAGTAGAAATTGTTTTCACTGGCAGAGTTTCTCAAACTTTCTACAGAGGTCCCTTAGAGTAACAGATACTGAAGCACCGGGGGTGGGTGGGTGGAGGTGGGGCGGGGGTAGAGTGGGAGCTGCTGAGTGCTTATGGGTGCTAAGGGCTTATTTTGAGCCAGCCTCTGTGTATTGCTTCATTTATCCTTCATTACAGTTCTGATAGGAAACATTCCTCAAGGGGATTTGTACAAAGTCCACTGAAGTCCAGCCCGCAGTTGAAGTCCTATAAATCTGCTCGTCCGCCTGAACAGCAATACTCCCCTGACATCTTGCTCCAGCCCCTACAATGCCTGGCGCATTGTCTAGTGGTCCAGAGCAAGCAGCTGGCCTCTGTCGGCCTGGGTCACAGATACAACACTTACTGGGGGTCTGGGCAGATTATTTCACTTCTTTGAGTTTCAGTCACTTGTTCTGTAAAACGGGAACAATAAAGAACCTACCTTGTACGTTTGTTGAAAGAATTAAATTAGGCAATCCAGGACAAATAGGCAGTCTAGTGCAAATGTACACCAGGCAGTGTATGAATGTTTAATATTACCAACATTAACAATAATTGTACTCCATCATATATCTGCATTTAATTTCTTTTCTTATCTTTCTTTCCTTTCCTTTTCTTTTTTATTTTAAAGTGGAGGTACTGGGGATTGAAACCAGGACCTCGTGCATGCTAAGCATGCACTCTACTGCTGAGCTATTCCCCTCCCCCCTGCATTTAATTTGATATTCATTTTTTATCTTTAAAATCTTTGAATAAGACTCACACTCCAGAAGATGGACTATAGCTTCTTGCACCTGCTGGGGCCTGATGAGCTGAATACCCCCATCTGACTGCCTCTCCCCTCCCACGTATACTGTAACCAGAGTAAAATCCCAGGCTACAGGACGAAGTCCACGCTCCTTAAAATGTGGCACCATGCCCTCCAGACTTGTTTCTGCTTTCCTCTTCAGGCTCCCTTCTCACTGCAGTCTCCCGTGCCCTTTACGCTCCAGCAATCTTGAGCTTCTTATAGCTCCCCAAACAAGCAGAGCATTTCCGCAGCTTCACACTTCCCTGCCTTTGCACCCAGGCTCAGCCTGGGAGCTTCGCTGTGTCATCTGATGCCCAGAAAGCTCCTGCTCTTCCTCAGAGCCAGCTTGCTAATGGTCTCTTCTCGGGATGATGCTAAATCACCCCGTTCCTAACCCCAAGCACTGACTGCTCCTTCCTTCATCCACCAGGACTTCTGTGCCTTCTGCTTGCACCACACTGTCCTGCAATTTTTTTATGAATTTGTCTTTCCCACTTGGCAGACTCTGAGCTTCCTGAGGGCGGGGACTGGTTTTGTCTTGCCAGAGTCTTGCACCATTGCTGGCATGTGTGAGTACACAGTAGGTGTTGGTTGAACAACTTGGACTGAATTTTACATAGCGACCCCTTCCCTGGGTCGGTGGGAATTACTCCAGAAATTGACCTTGATCACGCCTGTCCGTTCTCATTGGAGGGCCTCTGTTCATCTTAGTATTTAGAACTATAATGAAAAGTGGAATAATTATGTGTAGCTGGCACCAGCCACCCTTGAGGCAAAAATAAAAAGAAATGGTATCCGTTCTTCCCCACCTTCAAATTCCTAGCCCTTCAGGTTAACCCAACTCTTCTATGAGCAGGAGACCTCAGCTTCCACCTCTTCTCCTGCTCACGTCAGTTTCTTATTTAATAGTTGTCCAGTGGCTACAGGTTACAAAGCAGGGACCTAGGCAGGTCCTTGCTTATTTTTGTAGCCTCGTCTCTAACACTAGCTACCTTGAATTTTCCCTCCAGCGATGCCAAATCTCTACTGCTTCTCCACACACACACACAGAGTAGCATCTTTATTTTTGTTTTCCCCTCTGCATACAAAGAGCTTCCCTGCCTTCTTCACCTCACTAATTGCTGGGTAACTTTTACATAATAAAATTTACCCGTTTGATAAATGTGTACAGTCATGCTCACATACAGAGCAGTCACATCACTCCCCAGATCACCTCACCCCATGCTTCTGTGCAATCAAGCCACTCCCTCCCCCTCCGGCTCCTGGCAACCGCTTATCTCTTTCCTGTCGCTGTAATTTTTGCCTTTGCTAGAATGCCTTACAAATGGAATCACAGAGTATCTAGACTCTTACGTCTGGCTTCTTTCACTTGTCCTAATGCATTTGAGATTTCGCTGGTGGTGTTGCATGTATTGGTGGCTTATTCCTTTTTATTGCCGAATAGCATTCTAGTTGCATTTGTTTTCTCCTTTTTCAGACTCAGCATAAGAATCACTTCCTCCTGGAAGTCTTCTCTGAGCCAAGGGTTGTGTGCTGGTTTCACGTTCCCACGGCACCCCAGACTCCCTTTCATCATAGCACACAGCACACTGTGCGTTGATTACCTCTTTAGGTAACGCTGGCTAGACTCAACCCTAAGGAGGGAAAAAGTGTGTTTTAATCAATTCCCATATTCCCAGCACAACACCTAGTAGGTGTTCAGATGCATGCATGAATGGATCTCCGTTGGAGTAAGGCAGCCTCAAAATAGGACGTTTTGGCACTTTAACAATGAACTCCCACTTGACGTGGTCTCCCTTTCTCACGACAGCCTGTGAAATTGACACTAATACACAAAATTTACAAAAGAGGAAGGTAAGTCATGCCGGTTTGGATCCAAAGCCTACGCTCAGATATAGTAGACTATGATATTCCTCTGTCATGAGAGCGGTTTTAGGACTAGGAATCTGTGTTTTGATGGCAAATGTTCATCTCCTTTAACCTGTTCTCTATTTTAGCTCCTGTCAAGCCAGCAGAAAAATATAGGTAGTGTCTTACTGGCTGAAAAACAAAGCTCTTCAGTCAAACAAAATTGTGGTGGGATGGGTCAGTAGATAACCGGTTCTTGAGAACAGGCTAATTCATTCCAGATGGCCGGGGTCGGGCTGGGAGACTACAGGCAGCCATCATTACATGGACCAACACTGAGGCTGCAGCTGGATGGCACCTGGCCACATGCAAGGGGAACTGGAAAGCAAATGAAAAAGGACTTTGGTTTAACTGTCACTTAATCAGCTGTCCCTCACTGGGAAAATTAATCTGACAACCTCTCTTCTGAGACCTGTAAATAAGTAACATCAGTCCCTAAAATATGGGAGGGTCAGGGGTCCACACCTGGGGACAGGATGCAGAATGGTAAGGATGTGGGTGACGAAGGCTGAGTCCCTTTCTTCTCTAATTCCACATGCAGTCCCTCACTTCTGTGAAGACTGGGAGGGAATTAAATTCAACTCACATGGGCCAGTCGATCAAATCTGGCAAAGAGCTCGTTAAGCATCCTGACCAGCTCCTGAGCAGACAAGGTCGTGGAGAGGTTGGTAAATCCTTTAACATCTGCAAAAAGAATACTAGACAACAGGGAAGGGATGGGGTGGGGAGAAAGCACATTAATATTTTAATCCACCTTGGGCGACACATCACCATCCAAATAAATCAACTGTGGTCTAAGACTTTAGCTCTCCTTGCCATGGGAGTCTTGAGGAATGTCTCAGTGTTTAACAAACATCTCAGCAGGGAGTCCACCCAGAGGTTCAGGAAGGACAACGGGGCAGCAGGAAAGTCCTGTGCAGGACTTGGGGGTGTGGGCAATGCAAACAACCCAAAAGGGAATTTTCCCCTAGAAACAGATCAATTTGTGGCGGAAAGCAAAACGAAGCATTATGAATTATCTCTATGTTTTCACAACCAACAGCAATGAGGATGTCGTGAACACAGAGCAAAATGGTCACGGGGACAACAGAATGCAAAACCTCATTATCTCCGGCCCAATGACGCGTACTCTACTCCAAATTGCAGGCACACAGAGTTCGGCATTGTTCAAAAATTGTGGGAATAAGTAGCAAACCTGGGAGACCGCAGGCAGAATAATGAGTTACCTGAAATTCTCACATTCACTAAGAATTTCCTTTAGGTGAGGTCTAATTCTATGCATATGGCTTGCCCTAAGGATAGGAGCAACCCTTGAGAGCCTTATAAAAGCAAGACACTGTGAGAGCACTGTCTTAGTTAACCTATCCAATTAACCTCTGGGGAAGGCATTGTTCATTTCATTGTGAAGAGGAGGAAACTGAGGCTCAGAGAGGCAGGGAAACTTGCCTAACACCCCATTAGTAGCCTGTGGCAGAGTTGGGATTGTCCGCTTGGCTGAATTGCCCAGTGAGGCACTGCCCCACTTCACCTTAACACACCACCTCAGGGACTGATACAATTGCAGGGGCACCTCTGAAAGGCAGGATGGAACACCAAAAAGGATTCCATATTTTCTTGATTCTCATGTTTTTTCATCTCTAAAACTAGTAGCATCTTTGCAGTGTGTCAAACTTTTTGGGTATTTTTCTTAGTTTTGCATAAAATAATGGCGAGTCTTACCATCAGTGTGACTTAGTGTTAATAAAATAGGTGAATTGGCCAGAAAGCACTGTGGAATGTGTGTGGACCTGCATTGGTCACCCCTCATATTAAGTGGTTTTTAAAGTTGTCTCCATTACAAACCCCTTTAAGAATCAAATAGAGGCTATGGATTCTCACTCCTAAAAAATATACAAGTATTCAGAATTTTGCACTTCATTTCAAGGGATTTGCACCATCCCCAAAAGTCCATTTATGGGCTCATTAGGAATCCTTAGACCTTAATTTAAAACCTATTGCTTTAATTAATCAGTTAGTGCTTTAACTATTTTGGCAAATATTTATGTACCTACTATGTGACTAGCTACACACCGTACTAGGAAGTTGTAATGAGTGATAAAGAAGACCCAGCGCCTGTCCTTGAGGTGCTCAGAGTGTGGGCAAAGGAGTTGGGCAGACAAAGAGAAGGACAGAAACAACACAGGCCATGACTGCTGCGATGGAAGGACGCACTGGGTGAAGACCAGCCACTGGGGATCAGGAGCTTCCTAGTGAGGCAAAGTCCAGGCTGACTCTTGAAGGACCTGGGGCCTTGATGGATAAAGTGGCTAAATGAATGGGTGTTCTTAGCAAAAGATCAGCACATACTAAGGTCTGGTAGAAAAATAAGCAAATGTACCAAGATTCTGCAAGAATTCAAGAACAGCTATTCACAGGGCAGCACCAAGCAAGAGGGGTGGGAAGCGATGAAGGAAGAGAGAAAGAGAAAAAAGAAAAAGAAAGAGAAAGGAAGGGAGAGGAATGGGGTCACACATGTGAGCAGAACAATTAAGAGGGACTTGCTAAGCCAGGTTGATGAACAGAGATTTTTTTCCTGAGCATGATGGAAAGCTAATGAAGGGATTTAAGCCCGATTGTGATACCTTTAGATTTTCAATGTATAAGGCTTCCTCTGGCAGGGCTGCTACACTGTCACTGCTCTTTACAGCTTTCTGGTGGCATCACATCTGGTCGCATGCATAGGCTTTGGGTCTAGACAGATTGGGATTCAAATCCCAGGTCACTACTTATGAATACTACGACCTTGGGTAAATTCTGGAACTTCTCCAAGCCTTGGGTTTGCATACTGGAAATAACTGTAGTATCCACCTCGTTGGTGGGTAGCAAATGTTTGGCACAGTGCCTGGCATAGTGAGTGTTAACTCTTGCCATTGTTATTGTAAAAAGTGCGCTGTAATTGAGTGGCTTGTGGGGGAGACGGGAGACAGGTAACAGGTAGAAGAGGGTGTGACCATTAGCTGGATTATTTGTTACTTGCAGCTAAAAGTATTCCTAACTGTTGACACAAACCTGAAACAACAGTAGCAGCAATCCTTCCAGAGTGTGAACTGCGGGCTTGATGTTGTTCTAAGAGTTCTACATGTATGAACTCATTCATTCCTGGTAACAACCTAGGAGGTAGGACCTGTGGTGATGGTACCCATTTTACAGATAAGGAAATTGAAGCCTGAGAAATGTGCCTAAAGACATGAAAATCTAGGGTTGGAATCAGGCCGTCTGGCTCTGAGATCTATGGTCTTTATCACTACAGTCTGCTACCTCTGAAGTGAGTCAGTCATTGGCACAGCAAGTGAGAAGTGGAAGGGCCCGGAGATCACCTAGCCCAACTCACTCACTATAGATCCATTCACCTCAAACTATTAATATCTATCTGTCCATGGCAAGAATGGTTCATTTGTTCATTCATTCACTTAACAGCTAATAAATGGAATGCCTATTATGTGTCAGATAGTGGAGACACACTGAGGAGCAGAATGTACCATCACAGCCCCTTAGAGAACGTACAGTCTGTCAAAGGAAGAAATGGATTCCCTGAGAGCAAAGGTCATGGAAGTTTCAGATGTGCTCAGTGTTCCAATATTACCCATGTTTCTGCAGACTTCTGGACACACCATCTTTCTGCACCTGTGTCTGTACATGACGTACCTGCTCTCTGGCACAGTTTTCTTTCCTGTCGTTACCTATTAAAATCCTACTTGTCCTCTAGGACCCCACCCCTATGCAAAGATTCTGCTTTTATAGAGACTTCCCCTGTCTACTCTAGCCTCCTGCCCAACCTACGCTCCCCTCCATCTTAGCACTTACTGCTTGATACACAATCATGCGTGCTTGAGTGTGCTCCGTCTACTGGCTAAAGGTCAGGAAGAGAGTCACCTCTGTACCCCAACCCCTAGTGCACAGTGGGCCTCACGGTACATTCCCTGAGTTGAATCAATGGAAATCTGCAGAACTGAGTCCTCTTTCTTCAGTGTGGTCACAGCCACCACTGGCAGCTCCTGGTTGCTGGCTGGAGATGCCTCATCTCAGGCCTCACCCCAGACCTACCTGCTCAGAAACTAGCATGAATTTAACCAGAACCCCAGATGGTCTGTGTGCACATTAAAGGTGGAGAAGCACTGGTTTAAGTCGAGGTCATGCAATAATAGTTTGTTGAATGAAAGACAAGAAGTAGAAACCAGCCCTGGTTCTCACTCTGTTGTTCATTCTGCCACCCCCAGGTGCTCAGCTCAAGGTCAGCTATTCTGACTCTGGGTATAAACCTGGAACCTTCCAAGATAAATACACTGATGAGGCCACATTAATTGTCAAATCGAATTTGCTAATATAAGTTGTTTATTTGGCTAAGAACAACTGCCATTACCTATTAATCACTCTTCAAACAGAGTCCTCAAGGAGGCTGAGCAGAATTCACCAGAATCATTAGGAACACAGGCCCTGTGTAGACGCTTCTTCCTAACTTGTTTTCTTGGGAAAGCGTTTTTAATCTCTGTGAGCTTCCATTTTCTTGATAATAAAGCAGAGATCACTAAAGCTACTCTGGAGGGTTCCTGGAAGGAGATAATTTGTAAATCACAACACAGTCCTCAATAAGTGGACGATATCTAACTCCTTGTGGCAATTTTTGGGAATCAGGGACTATTTAATAGCTTGCCACACAGCCAGACCTCCGAAGCCAAGTTCTCTAGGCCCACTCAATTAATTGCATTTGGCTTGAATGTGAAATGGTCTGCAGGGCCAGTGTGATGACTGCATGTGTTCACAGGCCTGGCTGGGCAGAAGCAGCCGGTCAGGAGTGTGGGTGGACTGGGTTACGCCAGCAAATGTGCAAATGTACATGGCCTGGGGTCAGGTGCTCTGGTAGAGATGCTAACTGTCCACTCAACCCACGCCTCCCAGTCACTAGCAAAGGCCACTGGCAAGTGCTCTATGCGCTCTTGGATCTAGGTCGGGCCATGTAATCAGGTCCCATTGATGGAATCTGAGTGGAAGTGATAACATGTCATTTCTGAGCAGAGGTAGTAAAGGAGTAGGTGTGCCTTTTCCACCCTCTTCCCTCCAGGAGCTGAATGCTCAGAAATCTGAAGACCAAGGTGGGTGACACAGATGTAAGTTACTGCAGAGAGGTTATTAGAGCATTACCCTAACTGGCGCAGGAAGTGTCTTAAATACATGGGGAAATACAGGAAAGAGAAATAAGATCGGGCAGATGGGATTGGAAGCCTAAATGGCCTCCCATAGAAAGCTGAGCAGCCAGGTGGAGCTCCAGAGTGAATCTGGTGATGTCTTAGATGCTTCTAGCTTAAATCAACTTGAGAATCCAAACGTTTTGCCCATTTCAAAGCAGCTCGGTTTTTTGATTAGGAAAGGGAGGTCCAGAAAGATGAAATGATGCAGCCAAAGTCTTGCAAGGGGTGTGGCTCATAGAAAGTGTTCCGGGATGAGAACCCAGATCTGCTCATCCCCGTCCGCCTGAGGCCACTCATGTCCCCAGGTGGGCGCCTCTTACCACACCTTATACTCACAGGACGCAATGAGCTGTATGACATAGAACTGAGTAAGACATTTACAGCAGACTGTTTCCAGGGAAAGGTCACAAAACGACAACAAAAAGCAACAGAGAAGAAAGAATGAACCGGGTGAGTTGCCATGAAGAGAGTGACAGGATGGAAAATGATTTCAAAAAACGCTCCCGTCCCCGCAGCGGGTGTGCTCTGGGGGCTGGGGAACCAGGCGGGGGAGCCTGTCCGGCTCTGTTCTCCCGCGGGGGCTGACGACCATCCTCCTCCGCTTACTGCATCCCTGGTCCTGTTTCAGCGCCCCGCAGCCTTGCAGTGCGCTGGAGAGGCCCCGGCGCCCCTGGTCGAGTTCATCCTCCCAGGCCCAGGGGGCTGTGGGCCTCCCGCCCCCACTGCCTCTGGGAACAGGCGGGAGGGGCCGGTGCAGCTGCCGGTGTCTCTGCCCATTTTCCCCTCCGTGAGAAAGGGCTCCTTCACCGCGGGGCTGAGAGGGCTGAGAAATGTAGGGCAGCACACTCAATCCTATTTTAGTGCGGTGCGAACTTCTAGAAAGGGGTCTGGAGCACAAAGACTCAGCTCGATGATTTAAAATAAGTGGGCGGGGTGCAGGGGGCAGAAGTAACTTTAGTTGTCCCCCACTAAGGGAGGCACTGAAAACTGATTAGTACGGAGAGAACGCCAAACATGTCGTTTATTTAACTTAAGGCTCCTGAATACGTTGGTGTTTTTTTTCCTTCTTTATAAAAGATAGTTTTTTTTCCCCCTCCTCTCCCTTTCTCCATGGTGACAGGGGCTTTTGAAATATATCATGTATACATTTTATAATAGGTCATATTTCATTATAATTATAATTCATTAAGTTACATATCACTATAACTATATATAAATTATTATAATACGTCAGTACATATTTCATGTCATATATGTGGTATATATTTTGTATTTTTCTTATATAGAAAAGGCTGTTCTGCCTTCACTTGTGCTGACCCCTCTGCCCAGCATTCCTTCCTTTGATTTTTTTTCCCCACTAACTTAAGTTAAAGAAGGCAAATAAGAATCATCCTGTCCAGGGAGGTTTCTCTACCCACCTCCATCCAACCCCAAAACCCGCCCCCCACCCAGGTCTTTCTCATTTTATGATCGCTTAGCCTCCTTTGCTTACGTTAATAATAGAATCCCACAATGTACTATAATTATGGTGCTGCCCTCAGCCTGTTGTTCTAGAACTGGGTTTGCTGAGTTCCCATTATCTGTGGGACCACTTCCTAGATGTGGGATGCATCTTTTATTAGAGTTGCTGCTTGACAAAGGGCTCTTTGCAAACTCAAGCTCTACATCAAGTGTAGCTCAGCTCTTGGGCAAGATCCTGAGAACGATCTGTACTGATATTCCTGCTAAAGGGTTGTGTTAGAACCAAGCTTTCTGCTGGACTTGCTTTCAAACGAGCGTCCCCCTGCACACCAGGTAAACACCCAGAGATGCTGGAGAGAAGGAACAGTTGTTCTTCCCTCCTATCAAAGTTAGGAGCAGAGGAACTGAAAGGGTACATTGGTCATTTTTACAGCTCTTTGAATTATAGGTTTTCCTCTGTGTTTGGGAAATTTCCACCCTATGACATTTGTTGGGAGGGAGATGCAGTTCTAGTGTACAAGCCGAAAATATCAGATATTTGTTCCCCCGTCACTTCTGGGCAATGACTGGGCTCAGCCAATCAGATATATCTGCTGCAGGCTTGACTTGAGATGCAGAAAGTCAGGGGGTGCAGAGAGTCGGGGCAGGGCAAAGGCGGCCAAGTCCAGATCCTGGGGACTGCAGGAGGAATTCTGTGTGCAGAGGTGGCAGCTATGTCTGGGACAGGACAGGGCTGGTCCCACAAGCAACATATTCTTCAGGGACAGTGGAACCAGCATCCTCACTGACCTAGTGCGCTGCTGTAATTTTGGCTATGCCTCTGGCTTCATTCCAGTCCATTTCTTGAGCCTACCTCTCCATCCTTCTCTAATTACTCTGTGAGGCACCCCATAGCCTTTCAGCATGTTTCTTTACAATCAGCCAGAGTTGGGTTCTTTTTTGCTTGCAACAGGGAACATGTCTGAAACAATCCACAATACGCTTACCCCTGTCGTGTGCTTTGTATGTATCTTCACTCTATAATCTCTATAAACTCCTGTAAAGTGGTTATTAAAATGCCCATTCTACGGAGAAGGATCTGGAGGTTCAGGTATGTAAATTGCTCAAGGTCACGCACAAGGAAGAGGTAGAACTGGGATCCTGAACTGGTCTGCCTCATGAAGGAGCCCCCTGCTCTGGTTTGCAGTACACACCATGTAGTCCAGCACAGAGCTGGGCACAGAGATGGCACTGATGGGTGGATGGAAGGGTGAAGGGATAGATGGTTGGATGTGTGGGTGGATGAATGGGCAGATGGATGGATGGAGGAATGGCTGGTTAGAAATATGTTTGCAAAAAGAAAAATAAGCTGTCGTCCTTTTTTGTATTATTTTAAAGACACTTGTAAGGAATATAAGGAGGAGACCCAGGTCATCACCCAGGGCTTCCAGATCACATTCTGGAATTATTTTCCCCCTCATAGTCTAAAAGGCTCTTGCTTTTCCCGTTCATAATGTAAAGGCAGGCAAGCCTACTGCAGGGGAGCCAGGCAGTACGTCAACCAGCAAATATGACTACATTTCTCTCACACTCTTCTCAAGCCTCAGTTTGGAAATGTGGAACTCTCTGATGAACAATCACTAGCTAATGAATTAATCAACCCAATGGAGAAAGGCGCCCGACATTCAGGCAGACAGAAGTCACGGCCGAGCGGTGAGAGCAGCCAGGAGCGGGTGGATCGCGCAGAGAACGGGGGCGGGGGGTGTCCTCTTTCTCACCTGACGTTCTCATAGCGGTGGATGTAGATCCGATGGAATTGGTGCTGCAGGTGCTCGTCTTCCACGTTGGTCATGTCGTTGATCATTTCCAGGACCACAAACCGGGGGAGCACGGACAGCACAAGCCGCTCCTGGAACAAAGCAATAAAAGGGACCATCTTGTAAGGCTGACCACTGAGTCTCGGAAGGGTGGATGGACCGTGCAGAAGTCATGGGGCTCTTGTCTGAACTTCTTGAGGAGTTGCTAGTTTCATTCCATTCTATGAACATGACCAATATCTATGGAGTCTTTTTACTTGCCAGGCACTGCGCTGAGTGTTGGATATATAATGGTGAACCAAATGGATGAGGGTCTACTCGTGTCGAGCCTACATTTTAATAGGGGTTACAGATGTCGAAGTCTACACACCCAAACATACCCACACACGTTTACAAAATGGGACAAGTGCTGTGCAAGAACAGGTCACAGTCAAAGAGCATGATGGTTGATGACATGATTCAAATCGGGGTTAGGGATGACGTTTTGGGGGAACTGATATTTAAACTGATACGTGACAGTTTAGAATGAGTCATGCTGTGTACTGCAAGGAGCTCCAGGAAGAGAAAACAGCAAGTGCAAATGTTCTAAGGCAGACAGAGAGCAGTGGCGTGGCTGGAGGATGGTGATAGAAGGATGCGGGGATAAGGGATAAGGTTGGAAGTGTAGATAAATCTGGCAGGCTTGTGTGAGATGTTAGCATTTAATTCCAACTAAAACTGGAAGCCACTGAGTGATATAAGCAGAGGAGTGTCATAAACTGATTTATGTTTTAAAAGGTCACCCCTGGGTGTAGGTTAGAGAATGAATTGTGAAAAGGGGGCCAAGAGCAGAGGCAGAGAGACCAGCTTGGGGAGCTTCTGCAGTGGCCCAGGTGAGAGGTGATGGGGGATAAGAACTGTAGGATTGGCAACCAACTGGGATGGCAGGAGAGAAAGAGGGCGTAACCATGGTGATGGCTAGGTTTTGAGTTTGGTTGATGGAGAAAATATGCTACATTCACTGAAACAAGGAACCTAGGAGAGGAACCAGGCTTAGGAGACACTCTTTACTGAGAGGAGAGGAATGAGACACACTCAGCCTAAAAGTAAGGACCTAACACTTGGCAGAACAATATTCTCCCATCATGATCAAATGGTAGATAAAAACTAAACAACTGGTCATCTAGCAACATGAGCTAAATCCCAAAGAGATCTTGTGTTGTGGAAACCAGGCAAGAGTCCAGCTTCTTTTCTCTATAATTTGTTCTAGTGAGGAATGTAGTTTAAGGCAGGTGCATTCTAAACATCATAGTTTCTCGTATCTTCATAGGCATTTATGAGTTCTAAGCATTCTCACCATCCATTCTTTCATTCGTTCCTTGCAAGACCCTGAAAATAAGCAAGTGCAAATAATTATTTCAGGTAATGGACAGACTGAGTTAAGTTAAACTACTTGTGTGGCCTGAACCGCATGGCCATGTGGCAGTGCCAGGATGCAATCTTGTGCCACGTTGTTCCTTGATGGGATTCTTGGTGAGATGGGAAAAGCCCCAGGTATTGAGTCTAACTGGAGTTCCAATCCTGCCTCCACCATTTAATAGTAACGTAGCGTTAGGTGAGCTACGGCATCCCTCCGTGACTGAGTTCCCTAATCTGGCAAATAAAAGCATCTACTTCACAGATTTGCTGTGAGAATTCACTGAAATAAAATAAGTGAGGGGCTTGGAGTTCATTCTCTCCCTTTTCCTCTCTGCTGTACTTAACCCTGCTCTCATGTGAAGGGTTTTATTAATGAAGTTCCACTGAGCTTCATGTGATGAGGCTTTCTCTTCTCTTGAAAGCAGTCCCATCGTGGGGCTGAGAGGCATGCTTCTTGCAGATGCCCCTGCCCTCTGTCCATCCCGTGTTCATCAGCACTGTCAGCTTCCCGGGTCCTGGCGGCTGTGTTCATGTAATCACTGCGGGATGGAAGTCGGTGCTAATCACAGCTTTGAGGGGCACTTGGCGCCTCCGAAAGGTAGGTGCTAAGTAAATATTTGCTAAACCAATGAGTGAACACATAGAAGGCAGAGGCTGCGTGTAGCTCATGACTGCAATCCCTCCAATGGCCAGCACAGTCCCTGGTACAGGATAATCATTTGTTAGATTCTTTAAGTGGCAGTGCACGCTCAATCCTCAAGCATGACATCAATGTTTTTTGGGAGACTTTAAAAATAAAATTTTAATAGCAAAATTCTCCAGCACCCAGGCTTGCCAGCCTCCAGCCAGCCCTGCTCCTGGCAACTGCCCCAGCTCCTCCCTCTGCAAAGCATTTTCTGCCAGGCGATGGGAAATCGCCTGGCGTCTGCTTAGAAAAGCCCATTTTCAACATTTTTGCTTCTCTCAGATTTGTTCACTGCTTGAGAAACATCATTCAAATCCCCTGAAAACACAGTCTGAAAGAAAACGGGGAAGTTTGCCCCTTAATACAATTCCCAGCTCCTACTGAGGCACAGGATCTGATTTTTCCGGCTTTGGAGATCACAAGTACAGCGCGACTCTCTCCTGGAGCCAGACGGTAGCCCAGGGTGGCCTTTGTGCTCCCATTCTGCACATCTTTTTCCTCCCTGGGTTTTTTTTCCCATTTGCATGAAAAGGGACCCCGGGTTGATTCCAAGTGCATCACTGGCTCCTGCCTGGATTTCCCTATTCATGTCATCAAAAGGGCTTCGTGGGTATCAGTCGCTGCAGCGCATCCTGAGGGGGAAGTCAAGGTGAAAACAGCCAGGAATTCGGGATCTCTATTTTATACAAATGCAGGAGGTGGGGAAGAGAAGGGGAGCGGGGCAGCCCTCTGAAGCGGGCAGCACTTCTGAGCTTACACGCAGCAGGGCTTCTGAATGGCTGGGGGAGAACTCGCCACTCTCAAACTCCTGCAAATTTAGACTCCCATTAATCTCTCTCTGCTGCAGGCAAAGCAATGTTAACTGCAGTCAAGGTCCAGGCACTGGCGAGACGCGTCCTCTGAGGCTATACATAATATCTTATTTTAAAGTCACTGCTCATTACGTAGCATGCCAAGTGCTTGGCATCCAGTATTAATCAAAACCTCACATTAATCGTAGAAGGAGGTAGGTGACTATTTTCATTGCATTTTATGTACGAGGTCCTGGGATTTCAAGAATTTAGGTGAAATCAGGCAGCCTGGAGTCATACACTTGGTAAGTGCACAGTGAAGACTCAGGCCCATGTTCTTTCTCCTTTGAAACTTGGATTGTAATTCATCCATTTATTCACGTATTTACCATGCCAAGGAGTCGGTGCTATGTGACAAGTGTGCCGTGCTGGGCTTGGAGAATCAGCAGGAAACAAAACGAGACACGGTGCTGGCCTCTGTAGAGCTAATGTGCTAGAGGTAACGGATGGACCACGGTGGAGATTAAGGGGAGCCAGTGGCTGCTTCAGCGGGATGGTCAGTGAAGGACTCTTCAAGGTGACTGGTATGCTGGGACCTGGACGGTGGAAGCAGCCAGTCTTGTGGAAAGCCAGGGAAAGGGGCAGGGGAGCAGCGAGCACCGAGGCTGCGGTATCGCGTCTCTCATTACATTTATTCGTTCATTCATTCAACACAGTTTTTACTGAGGTTCTACTATGGACACATTTGTGAGAGGCTGTGAATATATGAATAAACAGGGCAGATGTGGTCCTAGGATTTCATGGGGTGCTTACAGGCTTAGTTTCAGAGGTGACAAGTACAAGAACTGACAGTCATGGTGACTGAGAGGCAGCCTGTGAACGTGGTTGTCAGTAGCTTGACAAGCACTATGACAGTAACTCAGGAGCAAGTCCTGGCTAGAAATGTGGGCAGACAGCTCAGTGACTTAGGGCAGGCTGCGCGATCAGAGCCGGTGAGGTGCCGGGAGTCTTGTTAGAAATGGCAAGAAAAAGGAGAAGAAGCTGGGCTTCTATGTAGTTTATCATCAAGACTCAGAGGACAACAGAGACCGAGCGGTCAGAACTGGATCTTTAGAGTCTAAACTTCGGGTGTCTAGCCTCTGGAATAAGGCATGCTCATCACAAGTACAGGGGCTCCCCACCCCACTGTTTTAGGCCATGCAGTTATTTTGATGAGCCACGTACTTCTCTGATCACGATGCCTTCCTGAACGGATCTGCTGAAGTGACACCATCTCTGTGACGCTCCGCTTGAATCCTACGCCCTGTAGACCCGCCTCCTGCTGCTCCCATTGGAAGCTGCACCAACCTCTGTACGACTTTAATGCAGTAGAAGCTCTTCTGGCTGACCTCCGCTTAGCCAACTCCAACGACTCAACTCGCCGGATTAATCCACTCTTTCCAGTCCCTCCGTCACACATACCAGCAGGGCAGGCCACTGCAGGGCTGAAGGCGCCCAGCTGGTAGGGAGCTCTCTAAATGTCCACAGCTTCTGTTCCGCCTGACCAGGAGTCCCTGAGCTTGTTCCCAAACCCGGTTTTGTCAGTTTCATCTTTGAGTGCACTGACTCAGTTTAATTAGATGGTAAATAAACATATTAAGTAAGAATAAGAGTTGCTGTTGATATGAGATTGGAATTGAATGCTTTGGAAAGATCTGGTAATACTGGCAGCTAGTACAGTGCAACCAAACCAGATGTTGACAAGACAGCCATAAGAACTTGTGGGAAAAATAATAAAAATCCAGAAGTCATTCTGATAATTTTGCAGGTACTTTTAAGTTCTTGGCTCCATTTGAGAGCACTAGAAGTCCTGGCTGGTGCACTATTAGCTATGGTCTCTGTAAGAAACAACAGAGCCCTGCTAAGAAAAGTACCTTGCCTTATTTGAAAAGACCAGATAATGAACTTGTTATTTTTAAGTCACAAATAAAATATTTAAGTTTAATTGTTCATAATTCCTCCATTTGAACCTACTTTTTCAACTAACCAGGCCACGACCCTTCCTGATGGCTTCAGCTAAAGGAAAGCTGCAACTCTTATTTGGGTTCTGTCACCCTCCCTGAACTGTGAAGTATTTGAGAGCCAAGAGGATGTTTTTCCCCCTCTAGAACCTAACACAGGCTGAGTGAGGAGGGAGTGGCCATATTATGATTCTTTTGGTGACAAAGAGGCAGATAGC